GTACCCTTCTGGGATACCCCCCAGGGGTTTGAACAGGAACAGCGTACTGACCCCACATTAGAAGGCTATAGGAAGGCCGCGGCCGCTACCCCCGAGAACAACCCGCACGAAAAATTTGAGTGGTATAAGGGGTTGCTATATAGGGTAACCGAGGGGGTGGGACAGGGGGCTACCCAGGTCATAAAAAGACAGTTAGTTGTGCCCCGTAAATTTCGGGCTGAGTTGTTAAAACTCAGTCATGACATTCCCCTAGCAGGACATTTAGGGGTCAAAAAGACCAGAGACAGGTTAACTCAAACCTTCTTCTGGCCCAGAGCTACCCAGGACCTAAAGTACTATTGTAGGACATGTGATGTATGCCAAAGGGTAGGAAAAAGGGGAGACCTTCGGAAGGCTAAGCTTCACCCCCTACCCATCATCGAACAGCCCTTCCACCGAGTAGCGGTGGATTTAATAGGTCCCCTCAGTCGCCCCAGTCCGTCGGGCAAAAAGTTTATCCTAACGGTGGTTGACTACGCCACTAGATACCCGGAGGCAGTCGCCCTCACCAATATAGAGGCCGAGACCGTGGCAGAGGCCCTTATTCAGATATTCACCCGAGTAGGTTTCCCGCAGGAGATACTCTCCGATCGGGGGACGCAGTTCACAGCCACCCTGACGCAACAACTGTGGCAGAGCTGCGGAGTGCAGCCCCTGTTCAGCGCCCCGTATCATCCCCAGACTAACGGGCTCTGTGAACGTTTCAATGGCACTCTAAAACAGATGCTAAAAACTTTTACAGAGTCCCACAAGAATTGGGAAAAATTCCTTCCCCACCTTCTGTTTGCCTACCGTGAGGTGCCCCAGGCCTCCACTGGGTTCTCCCCCTTCGAACTCCTGTACGGGAGAAAAGTTCGGGGCCCACTGGAGCTCGTACGGGAACACTGGGAGGGCAATACAGATGAGGGGGGAGTCCCTATCGTCCAGTATGTCCTGGAGTTCCGGGACCGTCTGCGGGCCCTCACCGAATCGGTTCGGGAGAACCTGCAGGCGGCCCAGGAGGACCAGAAAAAGTGGTACGATAGGAGGGCCCAGGATAGAGTGCTGGACTTAGGGCAGAAGGTACTGGCTCTGAGGCCCGTTAAAAAGGACAAGCTGCAAGCAGCCTGGCAGGGACCCTTTAAGGTAGTGGAACAGGTTAGCGAGACTACCTACATCGTGAGCAAATGCTCAGATGAAAGGCTGACCAAAGCCTTCCATGTGAACATGCTCAAACCATATTTTGAAAGGACAGAGGAGGTGGGCGCCGTGTGCGCCCCCGCCACAGAGGATAGTGAAGGGCTACCCCTTCCTGACTTACTGGATACCACCCCCTGTACTATTGACCAAGTAAGCTTGGGGCAAAATTTAGACCACCTGGAGAAAGGCGAGGCTACTCAACTGCTGCAGGGATACCGAGAGATGTTTTCCGCTACCCCCGGCTATACCTCCGCTGCGGTCCACCGTGTGGAAACCCAGGGAGAGACGCCCCTACGGCAACAGCCATATCGGATCCCGGAAGCAGTACGTGAGAGTATGCTCACCGAGTTAAGGGATATGTTAAGACTAGGGGTAATAGAACCCTCCCAAAGTCCTTGGGCCTCCCCGGTGGTACTAGTACCGAAGCGCGACGGCACTACGCGCTTCTGTGTAGATTACCGGAGGCTTAACGACCGTACCATAACCGATGCCTACCCCATGCCTAGAATAGATGAGCTCTTAGATCGTATGGCGGGGGGGAACTACTTGACTACCCTGGACCTGTGCAAGGGTTATTGGCAGATCCCCCTGGAGCCTGCGGCTATCCCCAAGTCGGCGTTCGTCACCCCGTTTGGGCTATACCAATTCAAGGTTATGCCTTTTGGGATGAAGAACGCCCCGGCTACGTTTCAGCGGATGGCGGATAGGCTCCTGGAGGGATTGCAGGACTTCGCATGTGCGTATCTAGATGATATTGCCATCTATAGCCGCACATGGGGAGACCATCTGGGTCATGTGTCCAGGGTACTCGAACGAATCCACCTCGCCGGGCTCACTTTAAAACCCGACAAATGTCACGTAGGCCTAGCCGAGGTCCAGTATCTGGGTCACCGGGTCGGCTCCGGTAGACAACGCCCAGAGCCCGCTAAGGTAGAGGCCATAGCTAACTGGCCCCAACCCCGGACCAAAACCCAGGTACTGGCTTTCTTAGGGACGGCCGGGTACTACAGGAAGTTCGTCCCAGAATATAGCGCCCTGGCCAAGCCCCTCACGGACCTTACCAAAAAGGCCCTTCCCAAACAGGTCGCCTGGACCCCAGAGTGCACGGACGCTTTCCAGAAGCTCAAAGCGGCATTGAGTGAGGCCCCTGTGTTGGCAGCGCCCGATTACACTAAACAATTTCTTGTACACACAGATGCCTCCATGTTTGGGCTGGGAGCCGTACTAAGCCAGGTTGGGGCGGATGGCATGGAACACCCGGTGGCATACCTCAGCCGTAAACTTTTGCCCCGAGAAGTCAGCTATGCCACCGTAGAAAAAGAGTGCTTGGCCCTCGTGTGGGCCCTCAAGAAACTTCAGCCCTATCTGTATGGGCGAGCGTTTACCCTTATGACCGACCACAACCCCCTGGTATGGCTCAACCGGGTAGCTGGTGACAACCCCAGGCTACTCCGGTGGAGCCTAGCTCTCCAACCATACAATTTTACCATGCAGTACCGTCCGGGTAAACAAAATGGGAATGCGGATGGACTGTCCCGCCAGACCGAACTGGACACCTAAAAACGTACTTTCATCGGACATCCCCAAGCCAACCCGACAGGGTCTAGGCGGGTATGCCGACCTATGGACTTATAGGGGAGCAGTGTGAAGAAATGACTCCGTTCATCAGGATTTCTACCTTTGTTGCACAGTTAATTCACCCAATTCAGCTGGAATTCGGCATATAGCTATAATTTCTACCATTCGAATGGATTCAGGCGAATTCCCCGTGTAAACTCTAGGTGGCCGCCATTTCGGCACTTTACACGTGGTCGCGGCCATTTTACGTGCGAACAGCGGTGTTTGCCCGTCAAACGCGTGGAACTAAAATCGGATACACAAACAGGCGAACACCGCTGAGACCTCCATACATCCAGAACTTCGCACGGAAAAAACCGAATGACCGGCCGTTCGGTAGTTACATGCAACTTCGTATGGGGATTTCAACGACCACGAAGATGCGAACGGATGGCAGGACTTTCGTCTTTTTTATTCGCCTAAACGGAGACCGACCGCAGGGCCAAAACTTATGGAACTATTTTCGGCTAGATGATCCGTGCGGTCGGTCAAAACTTTAGTGCTCCATAACTCCCGAACCATTCATCCGAATGGACTGATTTTTTGACATATTGTCCCCACCAGTGAGCACTATCCAGCGGTGCCCAATTTAAAGGTGTACCCCCTGGTTTTTGGGGTACATCCAGAACTGGGGTAAAATAGTGCACGTTTTAATGAAGTTAACTGTTTATCAGAGGGGAGGGAGGTAGGGGCTGTAACCTGTACCTGATTGGTGATTTAATGCCTCCCCCTGGGTGTGTATTTTTTGTCTGTAACCCTAATAAAAAGCAGGCTGGAGATTCCAGACCTCAGATCTACTTGTATCCTGATTCTGGACTCTGACTGTTATTTGGGAATTCGTATGCTTTACCAAGGGGATTATCTTGGGAAGCTGTTATATTTCTTATGGACTTCATTGCTTGGAACTACCTTAGACGCTGGCATTGCAGGAGGAATTATCAAAGCGGTTCAGCTATACTTGATTTCCTTACAACAGGCTCAAGACTTTACAACCCAGAGGACTGAATGAAGGTTTTTCGTTTGCACCATTCATCTAGTTAACACTAACCATCTCTTTTGTAGTGTCAAATCCCTTACCTATTTGCTATAATAGGCAGGGCCGGACTGGGAGAAAAATTCGGCCCGGGCATTTTTTTAACACAGCGGCCCACTAAAAAGGGGGCGGGGCATAGGAGGTGTGTTTTGTCATCACCAATGACAAACACGCCTCCTCTCAAAGTGAGCATGTTGGTTCAATGCTCTTCCAGGGCAGACCATGCGCAGAACTCTGCTGAAGAGCTCTAGCATGAGAAAAAAGTCCTGTATTTGTTCTGCACAGTGCAAGCAAATTTAATAACATGCTTGCACTGTCTTTCCTTGCAACTTGTCTCTGGTGTCTCTATAAATGGATACCAGGAGACAAAAGGCCAGGAAAGAGTATTGTGCATGTGTTTGGAGCCTGCTTGTGGTATTGCGTGTGTGTAGAGTGAGCTGGTCGTATTGTGTAATATGGTCGGTTTTAGTCGTGTTGTGTTTGTGGTGTAATGTGATGCATATGTGGCTCAGGGACCCCCTCCCGCCCGGCTCTGGAAAGGGGTTAAAACTTACCTTTTTCCAGCGCCGGGCGGGGAGCTCTCCTCCTCCGATCCGCCCCGTCGGCTGAATGCGCACGCGCAGCAAGAGCTGCGCTCGCATTCAGCCGGTCGCACGCAAGTGCCTCTAGCGGCGGTCAATGAGACAGCTGCTAGAGGCTTTGGGGGAAGGCTTAACCCATTGATAAACATAGCAGTTTTTCTGAAACTGCTATGTTTATAAAACAATGGGTTAACCCTAGAAGGACCTGGCACCAAGACCACTTCATTAAGCTGAAGTGTTCTGGGTGGCTAGAGTGGTCCTTTAAGAGTGTTGTGTGTGTGTGTGTGTGTGTGTGTGTGTATATATATATATACACACACACACATATATATATTTGGAAGTATTGTGTATGTGTGTGGTGCAGTGTGTTGGGGGGGTTCTGTGTGTATGTGAGGGGTGCAGTATGTGTGTGTGTGAGGGTGCGGTGTGAGTGATGGGTGTGAGAGTGCCGTGTGAGAGTTCCCTGTGTGAGATGGGTGTGAGAGTGCTGTGTGAGAGAGTGCTGTGTGTGTGTGAGAGTGCTGTGAGTGTGATGGGTGTGAGAGTGCTGTGTGAGAGAATGCTGTGTGTGTGTGAGAGTGCTGTGAGAGAGTGCTGTGAGAGAGTGCTGTGAGAGAGTGCTGTGTGTGATGGGTGTGAGAGTGCTGTGTGAGAGAGTGCTGTGTGTGTGTGAGAGTGCTCTGTGAGAGAGTGCTGTGTGTGTGAAAGTGCTGTGAGTGTGATGGGTGTGAGAGTGCTCTGTGAGAGTGCTGTGTGTGATGGGTGTGAGAGTGCTGTGTGAGAGAGTGCTGTGTGTGTGTGAGAGTGCTCTGTGAGAGAGTTCTGTGTGTGTGAAAGTGGTGTGAGTGTGATGGGTGTGAGAGTGCTGTGTGAGAGAGTGCTCTGTGAGAGAGTGCTGTGTGTGAGAGTGCTGTGTGAGAGAGTGCTGTGTGAGAGAGTGCTGTGTGTGAAAGTGCTGTGTGAGAGAGTGCTGTGTGTGTGTGAGAGTGCTCTGTGAGAGAGTGCTGTGTGTGAAAGTGCTGTGTGTGATGGGTGTGAGATTGCTGTATAAATGTTATTGTGTGTGTGTGTAGGGGGGGGTAAATAAAAAAATAAAATAAAAAAAACAGGCATTATGTCCCCCCCTCCCTTCTTACCTTTAGCCTGGGAGGGGGGTCCGGCACGCTGGCAGGCAGGGTGGCGGTGTTCCCTGGTGGTCCTCGTGGGTGAGTGAACTCTAGCCAGTGAGGCTAGAGTTCACTCTCGCGAGATCCGGTCGTTGCCATGGCAACGCGCCAGATCTCGCGAGAGGAACCCGGCGGAGCTGCAAGTTAGAGCTCCGCCGGGTTCTCTCTCCAGCCTGTCTCCCTCCCTCCCCGCCGGCAGCCGCATGTGGGCCGGTCAGGGAGATCCTTGATCTCCCCACCGGCCCGTCGTGGCAAACAGCGGGGCCGGCGCTGGGAGAGTGCCGGCCCTGCATAGACCGGCAGGGGAGATCCTGGGACCTCCCCTGCCGGCCTCGGCCCCACGGCCACCGCGGGCCACCGCGGACCACCGGGCATTTGCCCGGTGTGCCCGATGGCCAGTCCGGGCCTGATAATAGGGATATGCGACTGAGCATTAAACTACTTCATCTATATAAGTTCGATTTCTTATCACATGTGGGATCCCCAAAAAATATTTGGATCTCACATATTACAATACAATGAAATATCATAATTTAAATACTGTAAACTTAACACATAACCAAATTTAGTTTACTACATTTAAGTGTCTGAACATATATTTCCATAATGTTCAAATATTGGTTGCTATTCTATCTATACATCTGTAAACCTGTATAGTATACAATTCTGATATGGTAAATGTAATATATAACATTAAACAAGTTTACTTAAACAATAAGCTGTTCCTAAAATGTTTCAATACAAGCTGTCACTTTTACTATACTTCATCCATGCATTTGCTATTCTGTACTCTCTTTATGGACCTCTGTGTTCCAACAATTTCCTATGAACTACACATATTTATTGTAATCTCCCCTTTTGGGATTTCTTTGCATTATAGGCATAGAGGGGGTTAATTCCCTCGTGCCGATAAGGCTGGCTGCCATTCTCCTCTCTGGCCACTCCCACAACTCGGGCAGTCTGACAACATACCATGACGTCACATTTTGCGATGGGCGGGCTTATGAGGGTTTAAAAAGAAGCACCAACCTCACAATCGGTTAGCCCTTGACAAAGGCGCATGCTGGCGCCGAAATGCGCGTTGGGCACACTGATACTTAATATGCATCCTACTTAGGATGACTATTTCCTCACTTAAGGCAACACTGATACTTATCTCTACTTAGGATCATCATTCAACTTTATTCAATTTAATTAGTGTCACGACAGTGACCAAAGTCACAACAGTGACCTCTTCACACAGCGTGAAACCCACAGAAAGACGGTTACCGGACCATAGAATGGGAGGACTAGCGTCTGAGAATAGTCAAAGAAATAGCCAGAGGTCAAGGGAATACGGAAGACGGGCACACGATTATCCAAGCCAAGATACGGGAAACCAGAACACAGAATAGTCAGAGAGATAGCCGAGGGTCAAATACCAGGAAGGACAAATAGAAAAGATAGCACCAGGGGACTTAAACAAGAACCACACTAGGGCATCTGACAAGTGTCATGATAGCCCTTTTATAGTGTGGGTTCTTTGGCTTTAATTTCGTAGCCACACCCCCAAAAAGTCCGGGAGCGTGGCCACGTTTGAATTTTGGCGCCATTTTTACTCTGACGTCGGCGCGCATGCGCCGCGTCATAAATGTGGGCGTGTTCCGAGCGGCCGGCGTCAGAATAGCTGAGCCGCCCCCCGGAAGTATTGGAGGAGGACCCGGCGCTGCGCGGGACCGGCGGGGAAAGGTAAGCGCTCGTTACAGTACCCCCCCCTCGAGAACCGCCCACAGGGCGGGAGGAACCGAACCCACAAGAGCGCCGCCTCTCAAACAGACGAACCAGACGAGGGGCGTGAACATCAGATGCATCGACCCATGATCGTTCTTCGGGACCGTACCCTTTCCAATCAAGGAGATACTGCAATTTACCCCGAGAAATCCGGGAATCTAATATAGATTTAACTTCGTATTCGACATGATCCTCCACGGGTGCGGCAGGAGGAGTGGAGATATTCCGCGTATAACGATTACAAATGAACGGTTTGAGAAGGGAAACATGAAAAGCGTTAGGAATTTTCATAGTATTTGGTAATCTCAAACTATAACAGACCGGATTGATGCGTTTGAGTATCTGAAACGGACCTATGAAATGGGGAGCAAATTTCATCGAGGGTACCTTTAACTTTATGTTGCGGGTACTTAACCAAACCCTGTCTCCTGCCACGAACGTCGGAGCAGCCCTACGTCGTCTATCCGCATTCCTCTTTTGAATCTGAGTCTTTTGAGTTAAGATATGTTTAACCCCTAGCCAAGTTTCTTTCATATTGTGAAGAGTGCTGTCAACACTAGGCACTCCAGTAGATGAAAAAGAACTCGGCAAAGTTGTAGGATTAAACCCATAATTAATAAAAAAGGGACTATGTTGGGTGGATTCGTGCATTAGATTATTATGGGCGAATTCAGCCCATGGAAGTAGTTCCACCCAATCGTCTTGGTGCTCAGAAATGAAACAGCGGATGTATTGTTCCAGGCATTGATTCATCCTTTCCGTAACCCCATTAGATTGGGGATGATAAGAAGAAGAAAGGTTAAGGACAATACCTAATTGGTCACAAAATGCCCTCCAGAACCGTGAAATGAACTGTGGACCTCTGTCAGATGTAATATCTTGAGGTATGCCATGTAAACGTACTACCTCTTTTATAAATAAAGAGGCCAGTTCAGAAGAGGAGGGTAATTTGATTAGTGGGATGAGATGAGTCATCTTAGAGAATCTGTCGATTATAGTCAATATAACCCTATGATTCCTGGAGGGGGGTAGATCCACTATAAAATCCATAGCAATACTTGACCAGGGTTTATCGGGAATGGACAATGGCAAAAGGAGGCCCAAAGGACGACCTTTGGATGACTTCGTGGAAGCACAGACCCTACAAGCAAGAATGAACTCGCGAACGTCCTTCTTGTGTGAAGGCCACCAAAACTGTTCTTCAAGTAAAGACTCAGTTTTGTGAATGCCTGGATGCCCTGCTAATTTGGAGTTGTGTACAAGGAATAAGACCTTTTTCCTATAAGCCAAGGGTACGTATAGTTTTCCCCTGGGAATAGTCAATGAGGTCTGATCCTGAAACCTAGATAACTCCTCCATTAACCCTGAAGAGATTTTGGCACGGACGGTTGCGATTATGTGGTTGGATGGGATTATGGAAGAGAAATGAGTTACTGTAGGTGACAAGTGTTCATATTGACGGGATAAGGCGTCAGCCTTAGTGTTCTTTGATCCTGGTCTGTAAGTTACTATGTAATTGAATCGTGTTAAAAATAAAGACCATCTAATCTGTCTGTCTGACATTCTTTTAGTTTCTCCAAAATACGAAAGGTTTTTGTGATCCGTAAGGATGGTGATGGGAATGGTAGACCCTTCTAACAGATGGCGCCACTCCTTGAGGGCAGAGATAATAGCCAATAACTCCCTGTCCCCAATGTCATATCTCTTTTGTGTCTCAGTTAATTTCTTAGAAAAAAATCCACAGGGATGCAATGGTTGATCATCAGATGGACGTTGAGACAGCACCGCTCCAATACCGGTTTCTGATGCATCCACCTCTAATATAAACGGACGAGAGGGATTGGGATGCCTCAACACCGGTGCAGTAGAAAAGGCCAATTTAAGTCTCTCAAAAGCTTCCTTGGCCTCGAGATTCCATTCCATAGACTTTCGCCCCTTTTTGGTCATGGCAGTGATAGGTGCAGTGATAGAGGAGAAACCCTTAATAAATTTTCTATAATAATTGGCAAACCCCAGAAAGCGTTGGATAGCTTTGAGTCCAACGGGCAGGGGCCAATTAAGGATAGCTTCTAGTTTTTTCTTATCCATTTGAAATCCAGACCCTGAAATTATATAGCCCAGAAAGTGCACAGTGTCTATATCAAATTGACATGTCTCTAATTTACAGTAAAGTCCATTTTCTAAGAGTTTAGAAAGAACCAACCTAACGTGAGTATGGTGGTCTTTAATATTCTTGGAGTAGATTAGAATGTCGTCTAAGTAGACAATAACAAACATATGTAAATATTCCCTTAAAACATCATTAATGAAGTCTTGAAAGACTGCTGGGGCATTGCATAACCCAAATGGCATGACCCTATACTCGTAGTGACCATAGCGAGTATTAAAAGCAATCTTCCATTCGTGCCCTTTTTTAATCCTGACTAGATTGTATGCTCCCCTCAGATCCAATTTCGTAAAAATAGTCGCCCCTTTTAATCTATCGAAAAGTTCTGTGATTAAAGGAATAGGATGGGCGTTCCGTATAGTTATTTTGTTTAAACCCCGATAATCAATACAGGGCCTTAAGTCCCCTTCCTTCTTGGAAACAAAAAAAACCCCAGCGCCAGCAGGGGAGGAAGATTTAGTGATAAACCCCTTTCTTAAGTTTTCCGTGATATATTCCTCTAGTACCTTATTCTCGGCTACCGAGAGGGGATAAACTGTGCCTCTAGGGGGCATAGTGCTGGGTAATAAGTCAATGGGACAGTCATAGGACCGGTGTGGAGGTAATTTTTCTGCCTCTCTTGGTTCAAAAACTGCTTTTAAATCCCAAT